TTTTTCACTTTTTTTCTTTATCTCAAGTCAACCGATTAACACTGAATGACCACTCCGTGATTGACGATTCAACCAGACTCCTAAAGGAGCACCAGTTCAGCTCTCCTAGCTTGGGGAGCATTGTGGAATGTTCCCCTAACCACAGGAGTGCAGCCAAATATCTAGTCGGATTTGGTCAAGTATGACCAGATCCAGTTGATACGTGGCCAGCCAATGATGAGAGTGTCGCTAGCTGACCATTTGAGAAAGACAAAAAAAGGAAAAAAAAATTTTAATAGTAAAAATATTTTTAAATTGAAAATTATAATATATATTATATATAAATTTTAAAATTAATAAAAAATAAAATTATTCAAAAATATTATCATATTAGTAAATTTACGAAAATATTAACACAATCTAACTGCTGAATTTATACATTTAACAAAAAATAATTTTTGCGACGAGCTATTCAATTTTCATACACATAAATTATAATATTATGCAGTATATACATTTGTACACACATTTGTGTGTATAGATATCAATTTTAAATAATTGTGCATAACTGTTAGTTGAAAATCAATTTTTCTTGGGTTAATATGAGGTATACAAAGCGAAGAGGTGTTCATGGGCCGGATCTATCATTTTAAAAGTCAAGCTATTTTATAATTAAAATTAAATTAAAAATATATATTATTTATTAATGTAATAATCTAACTGGACTAGATTGGGATCAAATTTAAAATTCCAAGCCCAATCCTAATGCCAAGCGAGCTTAATGAAGTTAAAATATATAAATCAGAAAATGAATTTTAAAGTTTAGTTTGGGATATTAAAATTGAAAAAAAAATATTTGAATTTTAAATTTGACATAAATTATGTAATAAAACACATGTAAACATAATTTTCATGATTGTTTTAAATTTATAATATCTATATTAATTTATCAATTTAAATTCATTTTGTAATTATAACCTCCCAAACACATAAGTATATTGGATTTTTCACTAATTTTTGTGTAATGTACGCATTTATCCTCACGATTTGTATATAAAACCAAATCTAAATCCACTTTCTCAAATTCATGTTCCCCAGCATAAAATTCATGTTTAAATACTTTCTTAATAAGTATATAATGTAAATCAAATCCAAAATTACCTTTTCATATTATCAGATGTAGAACATTTTAATTTTACAAGATTATGGTAAAGTTTAAAAAAGAGTTGTCGCATGTCCCCATTAATTTATATTTAAAGAAATTAATAGATTAATATAATAATTAAATGAGCTTATCAAAAAAATTATAATAACTAAATGGACATGTGACGACATCTTAATCATACTAATCAAGTTTAAAAACTTTACCGTTAATGTATAAAATATTAATTTTTAATTAAATATGTTAATTTTTTATTTACAATTAAATGGACATACATAAGACACGGGATCTTTATTATATTCTTGGATAACTTCAAATTTGTATTTCATAGCATAAAATCATGAATAGATATTTTATTCAATTCTTTTTTAAAATAAATTTAAATTTTATAAAATTGCTATAAGTAAAATAAAAAGACAATCCGTGTTCGGGCTAACGGTTGTTATCCCTCCATAGAATATTATAAGGTTCAAGATTTGAATACTTGCTCCTCTTTCAACTTCTTCACGCTTGGTCTAACGGTTTACGTATGTTTATTTTTATTATTCCTAATTTTATTTTTGAGAATATATTTGGTATGTAAAGGTAAAATAATTACATAAAAGTTAATATCTTGTCACTACTTAAGAGCAGTTAATAAATTGATTTAAATTTAAATTTCTATTTTAATTAGGTAAGTAAATAATTTTTTATTTTCTCCTTTAAATTTTTTCTTTTTGATAGATTTGCCAATTGAATAAATTATTAAATAGATTTATTTGATAAATAACAAAAAAATATATATACAATATAAAAATATATATGATTTGATTTTAATTGTACGTATTGATTTTTTGTAATTTATCTATTCACCCAGATGCGAGTGAACTTATTACTTTGTTATTCCTCTGTAAACTCGTAATTAGCGTGTTTACCAAAAAATTATTACTTTGTTACTTTAAAAAGAAAAAAGAGTTGCAGGAAATTAAAATTAGCGTGTTTACCAAAAATAAAAAACACCACTAAAAATCCTCAAAAAAATTTGTTTCTATAAATTAATAATCTCGAGGGGCTCGCCACCGCCACCTCCACCTCCACCTTAACCGTCATGCCAAGCGCCACCGTCAACAACCACCGGCCGAGCGAGCTACTCTCACGGTTGGCCTCCGCCGAGCCAGAGGTCAAGCTCAGGGCACTTCGCGAGGTTAAAAACCAAATAATCGGGAATCGTACCAAGAAGCTTTCCTTCATCAAGCTCGGCGCTGTCCCCGCCGTCGCTGGCATCCTAGCCGATTCAGCTGATGACGTCATCGACTACAACAACAACAACTGCAACGTCAATAATAATATTAACAACATTCTAGTCCAGTCAGCGGCGGCTCTCGGTAGCTTCGCTTGTGGCTTCGACGCCGGTGTCCAAGCCGTGCTTGACGCCGGCGCGTTCCCCAATCTCTTGCGCCTTCTCTCAAATTCTAATCAGAAGGTGATTATTACTATTAGTTTAATTTTAAATAGTCATAATTTTGGATCGAATTGGGATATTGATGGAATAATAACAAGAAATTTCAAAACTTTGAAATTTGGCAAATTTCATCTAGAATTTGTCAAATTTGTCAAATTTGTAAATTTTAAATTTCAAATTTTAATGTTAAATTTGTCAAATTTCAAAACTTTGAAATTTTACATTTCATTTTTAATTTTCATCTAGAATCAATGTTTTGTTAATTTATTTTGAGTTGTTACAAAAATTAAATAAAATTGCTCGTGCATTTTGGTTTCGTGGTCTAATTCGTATTAAGAAATTCTTGCAACAAAAAAAAGGAAGAGAATTTGGAATTTAGATTTAATGTGTTTGTTTAAATTGTATAGTATATTTATTGCTTTATTTGCCTAAATGAGGCATATAGTTCTGTTTGCTGAGTTAAGATGCTAATGTCTCTACCAAAGATCATTATGACGTACCAATTCAATATGTTGTTTCTTTTAAGATATCAGAAATGGCGGGCAAAGTGTAATTCGGTAATGCAGGCCATATTTGTTTTCTTTTTGGGTGTTAAAAATTTGTCATACCATAACCAATCACGAAGAGACATTGTAGTAGCTTTGTGTTTGGAAATAGTTTCTAGCATGCTCCGTCAATTCGCTTCCAAAATTTTAAGTCTTAGTTTCTCTTGACTGACAAGATGAAGTTTCATTGCTGAAAGGAAAGAAAGAAATCATGATATGGGATTTTCGAAAAGGGACTAAATTTTTTATGTAAGATTAAGGCATTAACTATAACTATTAACTGTCCACTTAATTCATCTAAGCGTTCTCAATTCTGAACTTTGTGAGATTGCATATGATTATCTTTTCTGTCTATTCCAATTCATAAAAAACTGTATCTGTTGTTATTGTATCTGTGCACAACCGTTTTGCAAGTCTGGTGTGCTTTGGTACAGTCTATGCCAGTTTCTTTCATCTTAAACCTTATCGAACAAGCTTCATTATCTTAACCATTGTTGGTGACACTTTGGAGTCCTCTGTTTATGCTTATCTATTTATTTTATCTTACTGCAAAGATCAATGCTTGGTTTGTTCAAAGAATCTTCCAGAGCTCTAAGCTGCCCCCATAGAGTTTCTATTTCTGAATGTGCTGCAGCATCGTTGCTCCTGAGGTGGTGGGGTGATTAGTTGTCTCTCCTTTACTAGGCAAATTTGAGACTTTCAGAAAGATTCTTTATCCCTTTTGACCTTTTCAATTATATCCTCATCTAATGCATAGAAAGTGAGGACTCTAGATTTTAGCTTGTCTTGAGTTTTTTAACTCCTTTTTGTGTATCTCTTACTTTTTAATAAGTATTATGGCATTGCTTTTCTTCAGGTGGTAGATGCTGGTGCTCGCGCCCTTAGAATGATTTATCAATCAAAATTGGTCCCAAAGTATGATTTCCTTCAACAGAAAAACATGGAGTTCCTTATCTCACTACTGAATAGCGAAAATGAAAATGTTAGTGGACTTGGTGCAAGTATAATCACGCACTCTTGTGAGACTAGTTTAGAGCAGAAAGTGCTGTTTGATGCTGGTATTCTGAGGAGGCTGAATAGTCTTCTTGAAGGTGGTTCTTTAAGTCAGAGATATTCTAGTTTAGAGTCTTTAGCCTCAATATTTAAGAATAATTCTGAACTTGTTTCGAAATTTGCGGGAGCTGAAATCGAAAGACCTTTGGGTTCTATTATTGATTTATTAAAGGATAGGTACCCCCGTACAAGATTGCTTGCTTGCATGTGCTTGATTGTCATAAGGAACACCTCTCCCCACCTCTTGCAAGATATAGGGGTCAAATCTAAATTGATACATATTTTACTTGAGCTTCTTGATGACCCTGGTCAAGTTGGGGATGAGGCTTCTTTTGCCTTTTCCAGTTTGATAGCACAGAAGGAGGATCTTCAAAAACTAGCTCTTGAGGCCAATGCAATTGATAAACTTCATCACCACTTACAAAAAGGCTCATTGCGTCCCAGACGTTATGAAGGAATATTGCTTGCATTAGCTGATATGTGCTCAAAGTTGGAGAGTTGCAGGTCTAAGTTCCTCTCATTGCAGGTTTGTTTCCATGGAAATTATTAACTTGCTCGATTACTTGTTTGTAATTTCATGTTTAGTTTTTGATCGTCACAAATCTATAAAAGAACTAAACACACTAAGTGATGTAGAAAAAGTATTCTCAAACTTAAAGTGCTCTAGAGATAATCTGAATTTACAAACAAATACTCAAATATGCCAAAAATATCAATAATTCATAAATCTGAACTTTCTTGAAGCTAAAATAACAAAAATATTCATAACTAACCCCAAAACGTGGAAAAGAAGTTAAATACCAATTAATATAAAATAACCTACATAATCTAAACTAGCCTAAATATATGTAAAGATTACAATTCTATAAAATATAAGATGAAGTACTAGATAATGTAATCCCTTTCTAGCCCCAAGTAGATCCCACCTCACAATTAGACACTTCAGGTTTCAATTTCTTTTTTATGGTTGTTCTATATGTGTGGTGAAAAGTTATAACTCAGATTAAGAAAGCTTCTTATTATTAGTATTTTTACTGTGTTCCCTTGAAGCAGATGTTACTGTAATTTTCTTAAAATGCACTCACTCAGGCATTTTTTCTTTAAATGCAAGGGCACACTCTCTCAAGCAAATCTTATTGGAGATTCTTAGTTGGGTGAATAATCAACTACATCAACGTTTCTAATGTTTTCTCATAATTATAGGTGTTGAATTTGGTAACTGATGCACTAACTGATGATAGTGCTGATGTACGCACTGCTGCTTGTATATGTTTGAAAAGTGTCACTCGATCAATCAAGGTTTGTAATGTGGGTAACAGTTTTGCAGTATTAGTTTTGATATTTAATGCAAATATAGCTTATGAGATGCCAATTCAGAATTTGAGTGCAGGCTATTTTATGAATGAAATGGTTGTGGTTCCTTTGGTTCAGCTTTTTCTTGACCCTTCCACTTCTGTCCAGGTATGAATTAAGCTGTTAAAATTGGAATTGCATATTGTTAGGTATAATCTGCATTGTCCGCTTGAAAACCCAAAAAGGAAAGGTATTGCAGGAGGTGCATTTTGAAATATGAGTTGTCATCGGATTTTGAGCAATCTGAATTTCTTGTTAATATTTGTGCTCTGACATCTCTGAGCACATGAAGATGGTTGAATCTAAGACGTATCACTGAATTAAAATGTGTTAGGTCAACCTAATTTTAAAAAATATGTTGGGTTTAGCCAAATTTTATAAAAGTATAATGGCATATACTTAACTTATATTTCCTTTTTGTATTTAATTGGGTTTGATCTGGTTGAGTAACCAGTTTTGGCTTGGCATGTTAATGTGCATGGGCTTTAGGTGGCAGCAGAAGCCAGAAAGGCGTGATGCTTTTACCGTGCTAGATGCTGTATGGCTTGTGAATGGGCTGTTTGGTGTTTTACTGTTTTTTTTGTCTTTTTATTTTTCAAAAAACTTATCAAGGTGCATTTTGGTGATTATTAGAAGTCAATCTTATGGAGATCTTGTAAAGTTTGGAAGCTGTTATCTTTTGACCTGAAAGACTGCTTCAACCTCTGCTACATGCTTGTATTCAGTTTTATATCAACTTAACATTAATCATTATGAAAACACCTTGTGCGAGATTAATTTTCATATTAGTTGTCCTACAATTATGTTGTCTATATGTTACATGTTAAGCCATCTTGTTCCAACAGATCCCTAAGCTTATGAACTAGGTGGATGTTAACACTTTCCATTGAATCCTTTTGTTTCTAGGTGGCTGCACTTGGCGCTATTAGCAATGTAGTAGTTGATTTTACAACACATAAGTGTATTTTTGTACAATGTGGAGGGATGAAACAGCTGGTTCAGTTAGCAACGTCAATGGAATCAGCTGTTAGGTCTAATGCTTTGTGGGCTTTGAAGAACTTTGTCTTCCTAGCAGACAACAGGTTAAAAGAAGGTGTTTTCTCAGAGCTGACAGCATCATTATTATCAAGCCTTATCTGTGGTAATATCATTTGTCTACTTGCAATCCTTAACGTTGTTTTTTAGCTTATGTGGTGATGTAAGTTCAAATCAAGACACTTCTTAATGTGTATTTACTTTGCAGATCCAGAGCCTTCTGTGCAGGAGCAAGCTTTGGCCCTTGTTCGTAATCTAGTTGATGGATGTATGAACTCGGTTGAGTTTATGTTTGCTGAAGATGGTCTTATATTAGGGGCCATTGGAAGACAATTACAGAATGCTTCGAAAGCTGAAATAGGGATACAGGTTTGACATCAAGGAAACTAATTAGTTCTGAGTGCACTTATTGTTTGAATAGTGATAAAATGCACTAACAAAAGATATAATGTTCGAATTTCCATCATTTTAAAATTTAAAATTTGAAATTGCTTTTGGAATGAAAATCTCACATCTTGCATTCAATTTTGTCTCTTTAGCCAATAGAGATTTCGTTATATGGCAGTCAAGATATTACATATCTAATTTTGCCCTTTTAATTTAATAAGTCCACTTATTCTACTTTGATATTTGGAAGCACAAATTTTGCTTTGGAGTAATAATTGTAACTAATCCTTTTTGCAGTAAAAATTTAACAAATTTGCATACATGGTTAGAATGATGATCTCACTGCATCCTTAACCAGGAGAAAGTTCCCTTAGTGGCACTCAAGATCTACACCTTTAGTTATGCTCATTCAAGGGTCAAATTTTATACTACCTTGATTATGGGAAATACATTGAAAATTTGCCATTAGAGAAGAAGTTTTGCAAACTTGATCGTTGGCTTGTTGGATGTGGAAAACTTGCCGGAACTTTTGAATGATGTTATTTTATTTTTATATTATTCTATCTAATGATTGGAAAGCTCATTCTGCTATAGTATATATTTTTAATTTATGCCTGTTCTTTCTAATAAGTTATGAATCAGCATATAAGTGGATGCTTATCATATAGGATTGGCTACATATTTTAGGTTTCGAGGACTTCTTTCTTATCTATTGAAGTATGGTTTCTATACATCTAAATAGCTAGTTATAAATGTGATTATTTGGCTTCTTTTTTGTATCTTTGTTTAAGGGCAACAACAATTATAAATTTCTAACAAATATCTTTCAAGATTGTAATTGGTTTCCATATAATAGTGCTGTGACATTGTATTGAAGTGGACAGCTTAAGGGTGTTAGAGGTCATAAATACATATTATCACAATTAAATTACAGGAGTAAAAATGTATATAAAACTATAATTTAATAGTGTGTTAAATGTAATTTTCTGTTTTTAGTGTATGATAAAATTCTTTGCCATGTAGGGAATGTATGCACTATGCAATGTGGCGAGCGGGAATGAGTTTCACAAGGAGGCAGTAATGCACCAACTCTTTCCACAAATGGTTGACAAGAATGAATCTTTTATGATTAATTTTTTGCAGAGTAATGATAGCCAGCTACGTACAGCAACTGTGTGGACAATAGTGAATCTTACTTGTCCATCAAGTCCTGGTGCATTTGGCCGGCTTGTAAAACTGCGCAATGCCGGAATTGTTTCTCAAATAAAGCATATGGTTAATGATCCATGTGTTGATGTTAAGGTCATTAAATTTATATTTTGGAGCTTCGTTTTCAGTTTTTTTTTTCACTTTTCTGGTTAAACCTAATATCAATATTTGTGGTACAGTTCCGAGTGAGAACAGTGCTAGGGCAATCTATGGCTTTTGGGGACAATTAAATATGGCCATGTTCCTTCATTCCTTGAACACCAGAAAGCAAGAGATTTGAGGCAGTTTGTTACTCATTTTTAGTCTTCAGCGCATCTTGTTGTAAGAAATTGTCAAGGGTTTCTTCAGTGGCTTGCGACAAAATGGTGAGTTCTAGTTGATGTTTTAATTGCTTTTATTGATTATGGTCATAGAACTGGACTCTGCCAAGTGCTCCATCATAAAAGTCTAAATGGGTTATACATATATATGTTGCTATGGAAGGCTGATCCCTGCTTCAGTTCCAAATATGAAAGGTCAAATTGGATAAAGTTCCCATTGGGAGTTGCATTTTAACTTGAATTTTTAAGATTGTTTTGAAGTTAAATATATCTCTTATCACTTCACAGTTATGGGTGTATTGGATTGACAAATTATTCGATTCATGGCTAAATCCTCGTCTTTCCAATGCTTTTGTTTTGCAGACACAACACATTGCTTTCAGTGTATTTTTTTTTTCCCAGTTGGAGCAGTGTGGGAGCCTCATTGTTTTTGGGTACAGAATGTCAATTTTACATTTAAAATATGAAGGATACATAAATTTTGTGTCGATTTTTTGTATGTACCAATTGAGCATTGTACATGTAACAGTGTACCATGAGAACTTGTAGATATTTCCTGTCTAAATAGTGTATCACTTAATGAAAAGCTTTGTTGTTTTCAGCCTCAAAAAATTTGTTCCAACTCTTACACTCAAGAAAGGCTACCATTTGGCAACTTTGTTAACACTCGTTTCGAGTTGTGTGAAATAAAATCGCTGAGACTGTTACAGTAAATGCTTTCTTCTCTCCACCTCTCAAGCATATGTATAGCAAATGCCTGCTGCTGCTGCTGCTGCAAATGTTGAAGCAACTATGTCAAAGACCATTTCGGAAATAAACTGCTACTGCTGTTGCTGTTAACCAAGTTGCTCAACACCACCAAAACAAGTCCTCGCCATCGAACATACACCAAAAGCGGACTCAAAACAAAGAAAATACCGCCCCACAGACAAACACCAGCTCAACCTGAAACATCACAACCAGCATAAATCCCCTCTCACTCCAAAACAATCAACAAGCCCCTAGCTCTGCTGACATTGATTATGTTAGCGAGTTGCACTTTAAAGAAATGAGATTATATGAAGTGTATTTCAAGTGCCTAAGGTGAAAAACTTGCGTTCAAATAACAACTGATAAAGGATACATAGCTCATGGTATGACCATTTCATCATCAATTTCTATTACGGTGACAAAAGCAAGCTTGGGCCAATCTTCCCCCTTGTTTTGCTGCAACCGTTGCTTCAACAAAGGACAGTCCTCAATTCGTAAAACAGAAAGGGATTCGGGCAGCTCCGGACCTGACATAGATTGAAGCTGAGGGCATCCACTAATTCCAAGGTTTTGGAGAGAGGTGAGATGCTGGAGTCCTCTGTTGTTGAGTGATCTCAAGTTGGGAATTTCAAGGATTTGGAGAGATGTAAGAGTTGAAGGCAGGAAACTCTCCTCTGGAAAAGACTCCATACCTTGGCATTCACCTCGGATGCTTAATAGTTTAAGAGAGCAGAGCCTCTTCAAATCCCAGTCCTTGAGACTAGCAGCGAGTTTGTTACAAAAGGAAACAAATAATGAGCGCAAATTGGAAGGCAAACCACCTTCAGGAAACGACTCAAGTTCTGGACAGTTACTTATCTGCAATGACCTTAGTGATGGGAGAAGGGAGTGCATCTTTTCAGGCAGTGACTTAAGATCCACAGAGTCAGAAACTTCAAGGCATCTGAGGTTGGGAGCATGCAGTCCACCAACTGGAAATGACAAAAAGTTTGGGCATAAACTGATTTTCAGAAACTCGAGAGATGGGAGAACCTGATTAGGCCCCTTTGAAACTGAAAGGGAATTTAGGTTACACCCCCGTATAATGAGATGAGTAAGCTTTGGGAATAATTGTAGCTGGAGGGACTTTAGAGAATAGCAGCTGTGTGATATCAACAGTCTTAGAAGGGAAGCATAACTTGACCACGCAGGCAATTCTAGTCTCTTACACTTCATGATATCTAGTCTTTTCAAAGTGGCAAGCACAACATCTTCAGGAAGGGACAAAAGAGATGGGCAGTCATCAATTTTCAACTCTTCCAGACAAAGGCTATGCATTATCCCTTCAGGTAGAGATTCTATTGTGTTGCATCCTCTAATCGTAAACTTCTGCAGCCCAGGCAGAGTGTTCAGAAGTACCTTATTTGAATGTCCCAAATGCAGTTCGTAGATAGTTGGAGCTTGTGGAAGTGAAACCATGAGCTGCTGACAATCAATGATCATTAATTTTCTCAATGAAGGAAGGTAGTTAGGCATCATCCCACTTAGCTTGGGACATTTTCGTATATGAAGCTCCTGAAGACATGGAAAATGTCCTCCTTCAGCATCTTGTTCAGAGGGAAGCCATTCCTGCCACTCCAACAGCCTCTCAAACCATAAAACTTCAAGACACCTAAATGGCTTAGTTGTAGATGAACTGTTTCTGTAGAACTCAACTCCAACTCTCTCAACCGCTTCAAGCCCAATGATAAAGAGACTTTTGAGTGATGGTAGTTGCCCAAGTGGTGGTAAGAAGAAGCAGTATTTACAATGGCTAAGCCGCAAAGACACTATATTTGAGAATGAACAATCCCCTAACCAGTCAGGAAACTTTGTGCCACCATAGGATTCAATGGATAGCTTTTTCAAGTTTATATGAGGTTGAAGCATGCTCAGTACATCTCTTTCGTTTGATGTATCAAGAGTATGACCACTCCATTTCAGTACTAACTCAGTAAGGTACTTTTTGTCCTTAAACTTTGCCTCGAAAGCATCTCTAGGATTGGCAACATTTTGAAGATTGACAATAGTTAGCCTGCCTCGAAGTTGCTGGAGCTCCCCCAACTCTGAAATGCTACATCCACTAAGATTCCCCAAAATAAAAGCAGAGAGTACTTGTAGATTTGTCAATCTACTCATTTGTAATGGCATCTCTTGTATTCTCAGTGTCCCACTAATATCAAGCTGACGTAAGTTGACTAGTCTTCCCATTTGGGTGGGCAACTGATTGAGTGAACCACAATCTGCTAATAACAGTGTCAGCAAATTATGCAAAGAACAGATGGTTTCTGGTAATCTCTCAATTGCAGTGCAAGACAGATCCAAATAGCGGAGAAGTTTCAACTCTCCTATTGTACTAGGCAACTCTTTTATATTATCATACTTGGACAAAGATAACACCCGTAAGCATTTTAATGTTGGCAATAGATCATGATATACTTCATAAGGTAGCATTTCAACCCAGAAAAAGGGTTTCATAGGTAGGAAGGTCCGCAGACATCTGGTTTCATGAAAGGCATTGAACTTTTGGAAATCATCATAACCAGTTCTCACATATGAAAAATGACGAACTGTCTTTTGGATTTCGTTAGAATCATCGACCTCCAAATGCAAACAAAACCCTTCGGATACAAATTTGGCTAAATCATGAATCAGGTCATGCATAACAAAGCACTTTCCATTAAAACTTGATTGTTGGAAAAATGATCTTGACAGAAGATTGTTGAAGTACTCAACCCCCACTTCTTCCGGTCTCTTATTTCTTCTAGGTTGCGGCAACAATCCTTCAGCCATCCATAACAGGACCAGATTCTCAATTTCAAAATCATAATCCTTTGGGAATAAAGCACAATATGCAAAGCATCTCTTTAGATGAGAAGGAAGGTGATGGTAGCTTAGAATTAAAGCAGGAAGAATGTTGCCATCACCATTTGATAAATCCCACATGTTGCTCTCTAACACAGTATGCCATTCTGTGACATCTCCTTTGGATCGAAGGAGGCCCCCAACTGCTTTGGCAGCTAAAGGCAGGCCATGGCATTTTTTCACAATGTCTCTACCAATAGTTTCTAGGTTTGGTACTTGTGAACTGGAATTTGTGTTATCAAATGCATGGTTTGCAAATAACAACCAACATTGTTCATCTGCTAATTGCTTCAGATGGTAAGTTGGAACAGTGCGCATAATTGATGCAACACTTTCATTTCTTGTTGTGACAATGATCTTGCTTCCTTGGGCTCCATGAGTTAAAGGTCTCTTTAAGGCCTCCCAATGGACATAATTTTCATTCCAAACATCGTCTAAGACAAGCAGGAATTTCTTATCCATTAAACATTCTGCCAGCTTGACTTGAAGCAAATTAAGTTCCCCAACCTCACAACTCAGAGAAGTGATTGCCACAAGAATTGCTTTTGTCACTCGAAAAACATCAAAATCTTCTGAAACACAAACCCACATTTTGAGGTCAAAAAATTCCTTCACTCTCTTGTCGTTGTAGACAATCTGAGCAAGGGTGGTCTTACCAATCCCACCCATACCAACTATAGAAACTACCCCTACTCCATCTCTGCTTGAATCATCTGACAGTAACAACTTCATTATAGCTTCTTTATCATCATCTCTTCCATAAACACTGGACTCATCCACCAAGGAAGTGGCTGGTAACTTTCTCAAATTTTTTTCCCCAAAACCTTCTCTTAAAGAAAGGATATCTTTCTGTCTTTCAAGATACTCAACTCTCTCAAGTACCTCTTGCAGCTTAGATTCAATTCTCTTATTGAATGGATTAAGAGAAGAGAAAAGCTTCCTTACCTTGGTTTTGCTGGATTGAAACTCAGCTTCTAGCTTGCATCGCCAAGCTTCAGTCGCAACCTCATCCAGGAGGTCCTCTGCATCATAAACAGCATCTTTAAGCTCGTTAAGCCACTTCCTTACATTGAGGTTTACAGTCTGCTTTCCTTCTGCATCATCTAGCACGGCGTTGACAGACAGCAAGGTAGCTTCCAACTTTTGGAAGAGTTGGCGGTTGAGTCTCTCTCCCCTGATGAAGTCTAGGACATCAGGAGAAGCCATCCTACCAAACAGAGCTTGAAGAAAAGCAGATAGGAAAGCTCCACCCACCAATTCAGCAGCCATGCTTTCGAAGAATTGTAAGAGAAAACAAGTGATTTGCGTTTGCAGACAGGAAATCTAGCAAAATTTGTCGAATGTGTCAAAAGGCTTGCAAGATTTCACTGCTTCAATAGTGCTTTTGACATTTCTTTCGGAATTAATCAAGAGGTGGTAGTTTACTCGTTCTTGTATTAATGACGTATTTGTTTCTTTAATTTCAAAATTAATAATATCAGTTTAATATATTAAAAATTTTCTGTTGTTTAATGTTGCGCACAATTGTGTTGATGTGATATTGTTTTATTAATATAATATTAAATTTGATGATATAATAATGATTATGTAGTATTTTATGAATGATATAATAATAATACTGACAAGTATTATCATAAATTTTATAAGTGTAAACATGAAATTATTCACGGTAGGTTAATGATTTTAAATGAAATTAAAAAAAAATATAAATGTAAACAGGTCTTTAAAATTTATGAATAGAGTATTGTGAAATAGATAAAAATTGAATTTATGTTTTTTTAATTTTAAAAAATGAATTTGGGTGCTTCAAAATTTAAAGTAATGAAAAGAATATTGTGAAATAGATAAAAAAATTTATCATGTTATTATTAAAATATCATCATATTTAATGCCATGTTGGCAAGAAAGTACCATGTCAACATAATTAACAGAAAAATCTTAATATTGTTAATTATTAGACTAACATTATCAATCTTAGAAAATATAGAAAATCAACTTATTGTATAAGGATTAAATTCAGTATTTGAATGGAGTATAATTTAACTTTTTATTTTTAATTTGAAGTAATTTTCAATTTCTTAAAAAATCTAAAAATTATCATTTTGTGTATTTTTTAAATTAAATTTCATAATAATTTATTTTCTTGTACATCTTAATGAAAATTACTTGAAAATATAAAAAACTGACTTATTTTTTTTATTTTCCAACATCATATATTCTTTTTAGATATTTTACCTTTTCATAACATTTTTTAACAATAAGCCAAGCATTCAAAATTTTTGAAACCATAATTCTTCATAACAATTTTTGATAACACTTTCCAAATACATGTTTTTTCAAGCATAATAGTAATATTAGACCTCAATCAGTTATCAAGGTATAAAAATAAGATCTCATTGACAACCATTTATGACATGTTTGGTTGAGGAAAATAATTTTTTTTTTAATGTGAGGTTTAATTCTATAAATACATTCTAAAAAATGAATCAAGGAGAGGTCGGAATAGTAAATATAAACCCTTTATGGTATCAACTATTTTGAATTTCAAAGAATAAAGCCTAAATAAATATGCTTATATAGTGTGAAATTGCTAACCCTACCATGTAAAAAGTTTCTTTTTTTTCATTTTCCCTCTCTCTTTTCATCCACCTCTCACATCTTCTCTCTTTGGCACTCCATTGCACTAGTGACACCTCCAATGGCAACTTAGAAAAAAAAAATAAAGAAAAAAATTAAAATAAAAAATTGTATGACTATTTTAATGATACATTATTGAATTATTAATATATTAATAAAAATTAGAAATAAAAAAAATGAAAAATGAATAAAGAGAAAAATAAAAAATATAATAATAGTTTAATATTAAACCTTAATGTTTTAATACTAAATCTTAATATTTTAATAATAGCATAGTGAAACTATTATTATATTATAATTTAA